GGTTTTATGTTGCGTTGTTAATAGTATGAATAAAAGCGACGAAGAATGCAAAACAGTATTGAAAGTGTATTTATTACATCAAATGCAATTGACGTAAACAAGATTTGCCGGCTTTTGGAAGAAGAATGGTGAATATTAGGTCCCTCTGGCTTGTAACCGGTATAAAGTCGTGTTAAAAGATGAAAACTTACTGTATTTTCTTTTCTATCGTTTATCCCATGAAGCGACATGTGCTGTAAAATCAGGAAGTGGAGTGGAACGGTTGGAGTAATTGTTTGTAAAATGATTACAGCTTATGCATGTCAGTGCGATATACTTTTCAAGTTTTTGCTTTGAACACTTACGTTGTTGTACTTTGAAAGAAAATATGAAATGAAGAAACTTTGATTGCTGTTTGATTCCATCTTATAATGCATTCTTTAGTATGCTTAATGTTTTGGCGTACAGCCTACTTGATAAACACCTTGTTCTTTCGTTTCATGAAAAACAGAGTTTTCAGTAGCTTAGCCAACCAGTTAATGTTGTTCCGCTGTCCAATTTTTTACCTTTCTAAAGGAATATAGAATAAGAAAGGTTAAAAGGGTTTGTTTAGCTTGTAATTTCCCATATTGTTATCAAGTATCTCGGTCGCCAAGCATGAGAACTCACTACACATAGGACCACCATTGCTCGAAGTAAAGGTTGATCAACGGTCAATGACCATCCAAAATGCCTGTTGAGCTGTTACATTTCCTCGTCTTCTACAATTAAAAATGATCGGTTTTCATTTCAATATGAAAGGCGAACATCGAGTCTTGTATTCTTGACTTGCAACCATTCTTTTAAGATTTACCTAACAATTTTGCTCACTCACGTCGGCTGGTGCCAACAATAACACTGATAAAATATTATTTTGTATCATATCACAAACATGGCTGAATGGCAAGTTAAGAATAGACAAACCTTGTTTGCTAAATTATGTGCTGGATGACTTCGGGTCGAAGGCTTTGATTCCGTTTTCATGAATTGCAAAGTGTTCAGATTAGATCGTCAGGCTCATCCATCAACATCCTACATTTTTATTTGTATGTTTGCCAATTTTGTTCCAAAAGCAGTCTAGTAAGGCCATGTGATTTCATACACACCTTGAACGTCAAACATGAGAATCAGTAGTCACAAAAAAATGTATTTGCTACATTATTGATGCAAATTAAGTGTATTAGTGACCTGCCAAAACCCAATTTCGACCCAGCTAAAATAAAGTTAACTCGTCATCTTGACCGAACATACAGGGTGCCCCAAAAAAAACGGAGCCTGCACAAATAAAATTTTGCGTTGAAATGAAAATCAGTTCATGATAACATTTTAAACTTGTTTTGCTTTAACTAATACTGTACAAACACTGCGAATTCCCAGAGGCGCAGAACTGTTTAGTTCATTGAACTGTGTGAATGCTAGTTACACTATTGTGCATAATAATTTCAATAAATTAGGGGCTGTTTACATGAGCCCGCTAGCCGGGATTCAGCAAAGCGTTTAATCATTTCGGCAAATGGATGAAAAATATTTAATAATTCACAACAAAAAGCTTATTTGAGCAATTTCTCTGTGCCCTGACTTTACAAATTCACAAAACCTTTAAAATGAAAACAAATCATTCAGCCTGATTTGAAAATTACGACTAAAATGACTTATGACGCTTAAGAAAAGTTGTAAGTTTTCGCTTAAAGTCTTTACTTCTGTCAATGAGTCAAAATCATTTCACGCTTCCCCGAATCCCGGTTACTGGGCTCATGTGAGCAGCCCCTAAGAAATATTTGCCGGTTCTTTTTTTTGGGGAGGGGGCAACCTGTATTTCGGCTGTTACTTTGAGAGCCTTACGGTATACATGCCGTGAAGTTCAAATTTTTGACTTCGTTTTTCATTTTGTGCAATTCATTCAGGCCCACTTGACTGATTGTCGTTGCACTCATTGAATTGAAAACGAATGAAATCGTAAATGACAATCACGAGCATGTTAAAAAATTGTCAGAAAGTGAAAAGTTACTGATTCTTCATGGTTGCATTGACCATTAGAGCATTTGATTTATTGTACTATTTACTCCCTCTAGCTATACCAGCGAACACAAAATATTTGCCTGGCGGAAGTAAAAAGTCGGACGGACTGGCTACGCCATTCTGGTTATCTATAGACTGTAAGATTTGCTTTTTGCCATAAAACAATTATGTTGAAAATATTCATGCCCGTTTGACAAAAGCATTTATAAAACAAACACTATGAAACGCTTGCGCTGATTGGTTTAGAGCTGAGTTCACATTAGCCAGTGCAAAACACATCTGAGCTCAACCAATCAAATCAATCTAAACAATCAGTCAAAGAGAATTTGCAAATCAATCATGCATACATTTTAGAGGAAAAATTAAAATGTTTGTCTTTTTTCCCATTATTGTTATTTTATAAAAGAAATAAAAGATGTTTTTCGTGTTTGCACTGGCTTTTGCAAACCTCGGAGACGTTTATGAGAACTCTCGAGCATGTGCAACCCTCCACCTTCTGTTTGCTTAAGCCCGTGCAAACACAGTAAACATCTTTTATTCCTTAAGTGTTATATGATAGTGGCATTTCAATAGTATAAATTTTTATCACTTATATAAATGGTAATATCCAATGGTGCTAATTAACAGTGAAGATGAAGTCAATTTTTTCACTGAACTATTTGAAAAAAGAAGGAAATCGCTTCATCAATAAGGCAAATCAATGTCAAAATTAATTTAAACAACAAAACGGAATATTAGTTACTTTCGAATAAATTCAAAAAATGTAAATTGCTTCTATAACTATCTGTTAATGCTTAGTATACGTCTTTGATATAACAGTTAATAATAAAACGGTTTTTCTCCCATCATCTTCATTCAAATATCCTTGTTCATATTCATATTCATCTTTTTTTACAATTATATCACTATGTCGTACACATCGATATATTTCCCTATGACGTTTGTCTAAAAAGTAATGTTTATAATGAATTCTTTTTCAAAATGTTTTTCTTATTGTACCATCGTCCTCTTTAATATTGACGGCCATTTTATAGCTTTACAAAGGTTACTGTATTTAAGTTTAGTTAGCTACAAAAAAGATTACCCACATCGAGATTACTCTTTGCATTGTTTCGGGTAAGTCAGAATACATTACAACTCCTTTTTTCAAATTCCCTAATATCATTGCGATAAGTCAGTTAGTTAAAAATGTCCAAAAAATCACCGATACAGGTTGATTGAGTATTTTGAATTCTAAGTATAATTATTTTAATGAATTCGGACTTTACTTAGATCCATTACTTACTCCTCAGCCTCAACTGGTTCTTATTTTGTTCTAAATTTTTCGAAAAATTAGCCTCAATGTTCGCATCAACTTGGTTCTTACAAAAAAAAGATTGTACTATTATAATAATGTGATTTCAAAACGGTAGATATCCAGGATTGGTATAGGCAGCTGATTTTCAAGAAGTCGTTTATTACACCATTTGCTCATCATCAGAGCAAATTTGACATTAAATTACACTCTTTGACTTATCAATAGTAATGTAGAATATTCATTAACACGAAGGAACAATGAAGAGCACTAGGCGACAGTCAATAACATTTATTTATGCTGCATTACAATCAGGAATATTCAAGTAGCAATAACTTTCATGCAATAAAATCAAAGGAAGGATCATTATGATAAAGCAGACATTCAACATGTATATACTTTGTACGAAAGACGCTTTCCCAATAGAAATAGTCTGTCGCAGATACTCTTTTGGCTTTTGCAACTGCAATACACTTCTCTGTAATACAAAGTATGTTTTAGGAGCTGTTTACACGATCCCGGTTAACCGAGATTCAGTGAGGCGTTGAATAATTTCGAGTTATTGATAGGAGGTAAAACTTCAAGCGTAAAAATTGCTCTTTTCTTTGATTTTATTGAACATACATAAATGCTACTTGAATATTACCGACTGTTATGCGGCATAAATGTTATTGATTGTCGACTACTGCTCTAGTGCTCTATATTGTTCCTTCGTGTTGATGAATATTCTACAGCGCTATTGATTTGTCAAAACGTATGATTGTATGGTCAATGTGCTCTAATGATGAGCTAATAGTGTACATTTTTCCTTCTAATCATTATCTACATGTAGAATATCCGAATGTACAGTACAGCCTGGACCTGAAACAAAGGTGAAAAGACTTCTTGTTCCTGTTAATCGATTTGCAGTCAACTTCCAATTGTATTTCCGCGAAACATTTGGTCGTCTAAGTTTTGTTTTTCCGGTCAGTCAAATCTTAACACAATAGAGCGTTCCTATGTGTAAAGTATTTTATGTGGCGTGCGTTTAGTTGTTGTTAAAAACCCACTATGGTTTTACAACACTGTGGTGTTGAATTACAACAGGCCATTGACCGTGTATGGTATTAATTAGAAGTATTAACAAAGTGGCCGTATTATTTGTTCGGGTAACTTTATTTTAAAATAGCATTTCTTACATAAGTTTGCAAAGTGGTTGTATTTTTTTTATTATTTGCCAACCAGAATCTTTCACAGACCTAACATCACAATATAAAGGCAAAATGTTACATAAAATGGCTTATTACGGGTACGCACAGAAAGATACGATATGAACGATGCTCTCATCAAAGTACCCGCGAAAGGAACTGACTTCTAAGATTATAATGATGACTGACGGAATAAGTCCATTTATTTAACACAAGTATATAGGAGAGACGTGGATTTACTTTAGCCATTTTGATGAATAAACAAAAGCCGGATATTTCAGCCACATCTTCAGGAACTAAACATTCACTCCACTAGTATGAATTTGAAAGAATTGAAACACAACCCACACATGAAGTGCCATTCATTACTTCATTTTACTAATTCCTTTCCAAGTATTTCTACGTCTCTCCAACTAATTTACTTTCCGAGTATTCCAAAGATCGTTCCGCTGTAGTGCGGTTTCAAATAGCGACTTCCTTCAATGTGATTGCGTCAACTGAAAATGTTGTTTTCATTTTGCGAGGAAGGAAGTTTTCGATTTGAGGTTCATTTATCATTGGTTATTGCCGTTGGGCTCGGCTTTTCCGTCGTAATTTGTCAAGTGCTAGCGAATAATTGTGTTTACATACAAGCGTGTGCTTCAATCGAACATTATATCTAAATTTGCAACAATCACGAGTGTTGTTGCCATATACTCAGAAGGTCTTTAGGTGAGATTGTGTGTTTTGATTTGCAAATGCGACATTGTGTATTATTGTTTCAAAGATGATTTTCTATCTTTAATATATTATTCTGTATACTATTATTCACGGGACAAAACAACAAGGACAGGCGGATGAATGTTTCACGTTAAAGAGCTTTGTCGAATGAGAAATTAGCATGGTATTGCATTTTAGGAGGATTTCGACGCATTAAGACGATATTATCGAAGTAATATTGTCTTGACATTTTTGGAGACAGTTTAGAGCGAACAGAAATCCAAGCCAATGCAATCCAACGAAGGTAAGTTAAACTTTGTGCTAGTACTATTAGCTAGTGCTACTGCCAGAGGCGATGTAGCTTCGATTTTATGTGAACGAGGCGATACCAATTTGAAGGCTTTTTATTTGCGCTCGGCTTGCTAGGATTCCGTGCGACTTGATCTGTATTGAGTTTTTTGAGGCAGTCAATGAAAGGAGATGTTTTAGCGGTAAAAAAATGTATTTGAAATGCACCATGCTCCAGATCATGTCAATATTTTTGAATTGATGTGAATCAGCTAAGCTGGCTAATGTAAACAAAGATTGCTCCCCGTAGAGATCATTTAGCAGTTCAAATATAAATGAATTCGTCAACTCGATGGTCGTTGTATTTGAGTTTTTCATAGGAAAATATAAAAATTTCTGACTGATATTTCGACTTTTCTGCGTAGTCATTCTCGTACTCGTACAAGCTGTGTATGTTGAGAATACCCAAGTAGCACAATTACGTTGTGACAACGTTGCAGTAACAGTCATATTGTACGTTGACAGAACGTTTTTTGTGGACTCGTAGGGACGTAAATAAAACGTCGGGACCGACGTTAATACCAACGTTGTTTAGACGTTACTTTAACGTGGAATAATTACCTGGTGCAAACGTAGAAGTCTAATGTTGAGACAACGTTGTAATTTACGTTAATTAAACGTTTTTTTTGTGGACTCGTAGGAACGTAAATGCAACGTGCGAATCGACGTTAATAACAATGTTGTAGAGACATTATTTTAACGTAACGTTAAATGAAATGATAGATCTAACACTAAGAAGGTTTTGGCAATTTACATTAAAAAAGCATTATGTAGTTTTATCATGACACGTTAACATATAGCGTTAGCAAGGCAAAGAATATATACCATGTAGCACAAAAACTACTGTAAACAATGATATATACTATTTTTTCAGCAAAATAAGATAAGCTACATGATATGTAGTATTAAAGCCAGGTATAAAATATTAATATGAATGTTTTATAAATAGAAAACTAGCTATATATTCTAATACATTTGCCTCCTTGCATATTTGTTTTTGTAAAAACGTCCTTAAAAACTCGATAGAATTTGCGTTTATAGTCTGTATATTGTCCAAAATTTCAAATTCTTTTTCATGAAAGGGTGATACAAATCTCTCAAGCCAGGCTCTGTCGTTTATATACATTTTTTCATGGATAAGGGAATAGCATGCTCATAACAATTACCATGAATATGTATATGTTATTTACCGGCTGGGAGGACCTTGCAAAAAAAATATTTTCACGAGATTTTCAAAACGCACGAACCGACCTAAACGGTACATAACATATTTATTTTTTCATTTTTATAACGAATAAATGACGATATGTGGCCTGTGTATACTGAAAGTGCATTGTTTTGTACAAAATTGACTTCATCTGGATAGTAAAATTCATTGTTGCTTTGATAACTACCATATAAATACATTTTTCTTTATCTTATAACCTTTTAAATGGCTTTTAAATCAATTTCAAAAATTCAAAATTCACTTTATAAGCAAATATTGCGAAAAAAATGTCACTTTTGTACCACGATCAAGATATCATAAAAAGGTGCCCAATCAGATTGGAAGAAATCAAAAAATTTATATAAAAAAAAATAAATTAGTTAAATTAATTCCCGCTTATTGCAAAAAAAGCAAAATCGTTAGTTTTTAAAGCTTGTTTCTTTGTATTTTAAGACAATGTCTTCGGATCGTTGATTGATAGTCGGTTGTGATCATTAAACGGTACATATACAAACGTTTAGACGCACTTGTCTGATAGCGTGCTGCATATCACGTGATGCCCTTGCGTGCATGCGTGCACTCGCGGATGTTCTCTAAAAAGATATTATAAATTATTACCATAAAATAAAAACATGAAAATTGACACATAAATTAGCAAATGTTGCTGAACACGTAAACCTGTCTTACAAGATCCCCTCCCCCCATGAAAAACAAATTGCATAACACCGTTACGGTTTTGGAAATGTTTATTAATCAATATCATACTCTCGCACGCTTGAATTTTAATGACCTGCGTCACTAGTCCCAGCGTAAAAACAACAGCAAAACGGAGACGGCATATACAATGACATAACGCATTGGCAGAAATGGGTTTTTCTTTTGTTCCAAAACTTCCATAGCTGCGTTTCATCGTGGTGATTTTATAAACTTTATTGCCACATGTGAGATAACATTGGCGTGAATTTCGTTTTGCTGTTTGATAACTATTATAACGCGCAAATATAAGCAAACACGTTCTCAAGTAGATGGAGTGATAGCCCAATAAGCGTCTTGCTCCAGTTGCGTCATGTATTTTGATCCAAGAAGCAGTGAATGTTGAATGCATTGTACCTTGGTTAAAACCTTACTATTCTTTTGTAAAAAATAGTCATTCCCTTTATAGATACCAATGTCGCACCAGGGCACGAGATGCATGTAATAAACAACGCCACCGAAAAAGATAGATTACTTCCCCACCATGCTGAGATAGAACATGAAGAGGTCTTAAAAGTCCCCTCTGATCGCATCCAATTTTATGAGAGCATACCTAGAAAACCTCCATTAAGGCGTAGCCGCTCAGTTGACCGAACGGATAACGAAAGCATTCGAGCTGTACCCGAAGAAGATGAGAGGGAACCGTCTGCTTTATCCCTCGAACCATGTGAAACTGAAAAGTTCACTGGGCCAGCGCAGAGTTATCCCGATTTTGCTCTTTCAAGTTGTTTCAACTTTAACAGATCTCAAAACCTTGATAAAATGTGCAACGATCTCTTCTTGAGCATTCACTATCATGAAGTTGACAAGTTGAAGGAGATATTGGAAGAAGGTTGGCATGAGATTACAAATTCAGTTCGCGGACTGTTCTGTTGTTAAAAGCAGCAGTTCGCATAATGTATTGTGCATTTGTGTTACATAGAATATTTAGTTGAACTACTGTGTTCTTTTCGTACCTAACTGGGCTTCAAAAAATAAGTTTAAACTAAGATGCATTTCACGCTTTTGTTTATGTTTGTATCTGAACTTTCTGAGCCTGCGTCACACTGAAAATGAGGAACGTCGTGTAGTTTTCTTGAAAATTCAATTAGCACAAGTTTATCCGGAAGCCATTGGCCTTCTTAAGCAAAGAAGTCTTTGTAAATAAGAAGTTGTTGAAATTACTTAAAAACAATGTTTTACAGCAATAATAAAAGCCTGCCTTAACTACATAATGAATAAATACTTCGAGAACTTTTACGCCGTCCAACAAGTACAAAAGCAGCCATTTTCTCAGCAAACAAATTAGTGCAATAAACTATGATTAATATAGATTTGTGCAATAAACTATGATTAATATTATAATTACTTCATCGTATCAAGTGGACCTTCCAATACGGTGGCTCTGGCTTCACAGAAATAGCGGAGTGCGTTGTCCAGTCTATTTTCAGATCAGTGCCGTCACGCCGTGATTTGCACGCAATGCATCTTGGTTGAGATACATTCTTGTCAGGCCTTCATACTGTCAGGAACTTTTTGGAGAGCGTGGAAAAAGCATTTTTTTTATCCGGACCGACCTAAATAGTGTAGAACAGATTAATGTTTTCTCCCTAAAAGCAACAGTCGATTTTTATTGTTGTCGTTTTTCAACAGTCGTTTTTCAACAATGGCGACAAAGAAAACAATTAAAATTTTCAGCTCTTCATTTTATTTTAGAAAACTCAAAATTCACTCGAAATAGATTATTACAATCGAAAGCTGCGTAATAGTTTTCTTTGCAAAACAAAACAACACACAAGAAAAAACCCTTTGCTCAAGTATTTAGTTAAATGATTTCTGATTGCGTTCAGATTTCGTAAAATTTCGCCCGTTGCTACAGCAGTCCGGACTACGATCAAAGATTGTAAAATTCCGCCCGCTGCTACAGGAAATGAGACTGTCTGAAACAGAGGCGTAGGAAGCAAGTGAAAGTTCGGGTAGCTTAAGATTTGGAACACTTTTTCATTTAAAAAGGACACTTTTTGTTTAAAAAATGGGCACGTTTTTATATTAAATTTGAAAGTTGGTGGAACACGTGCCCTCATGCCCCCCTCCCTGCGCCAATACTTAGGACTCCGCCTAATGCTGATTTGTAAAAAATAAAACTGCACATTTAGCTGACAAATTGCAAGTGCAGCATAACTTTTATCTTGAGATGTTCAGTAATTTCGTTCTCTTTTTTGTTTTGTCCTTTTGTAGATCCGCAGGTACTAGCAAAACTTTTTACCCGGCGCGACAACAATGGTTTACCTTGTATCATGAAGGCAATCGCTCGACAAAGTTTGGGGTGTATTCGACTGCTGTTGGATGAGTTTGAGAAACTCGATTTCAAGAAATTTGGCATTGACCAAATGGATGCGCTTCAATCGGACGGAAAACGGAATGCCTTACATATCGCAGCTCAGGTTGTTCGAGGCAAAGAAATTATAGAGGCAATCGCTGTGGATTCCATAATGAAACTGCTTGCCGATTGCGAAGACAACCAAGAGACAACACCACTAATTGTTGCCTGCGAATACCAGAATCATGCTTTCGTTGTTCGTTTAATCAAGTATGGGGCGAAGATTGATCACGTGAATAAAAAAGGATATTCTCCGTTGTATTGGGCTGCTGTCAACGGAAGTGCGATGACTTTGAAGATTCTTCTTGAACAAGGTTTGTAAATACTTTATGGTTTTCTAACCGACAATTTTTCTAATGATAATTTCTCTACGTTTTTAAAAATAGTCCATTTGTTTTTCGAAAAAGACATTTATACAGATTCCAAATTTAAAGCTTTGGAAAAGCTGTTTAAGGCTTCAGAAATCGTTTTATTATAGTTTTATTCCATTATATCCACATTGAGTTTTTATAATAAAGAATTAATCAACATTGAAGTTTAAATTAGCGTCACAAAAACGTCCTTTGTGGCCGACTCGCGTTTCATAATTTCATTGTTCGACAAATAATTTCATTATTGAGTCATGTGGTTTACCTATATGTAACTATACTATCTGCAAGTGATTTAGTTATTACTGATATTAGCTACTAAACATATGTGAATATGCTCAGGGGATGTGATGTTAACATGACTCTACTGCTAGGGTAACCCTACTGCTAAGGTGCCTCTAGCACGCATGTAAAACATATTGACTTAGGTTCACTCGCTTGCTAGAATAACCCTTCTGCTAGGGTTGCCCTACTTCCATGTAAACAGCTAAGCCCTAAAAAACTAACTCGTATTTGATTATTCGACTCGGAGCTATATATATTATTTGTACGAATGATATATAGAAGCATAATTGAAACTTTTGTTAACGTGCATTTGATAAACAATAGAGTTTTTTTAAAGGATGGGGCATATTTCACCATCTCTCAACCTCGTGCGTCATAAGTGATGATATTATGTACGTACGATACTAGTTTTATGCTGTTGCAATATGTTAAAATGACACTATAGTGGAGGCCCGACAACTCGAACTCCCAATGGAAACGGAAGAGTATTTTTGGAGTTAGCGGGGGCTCAAATACGATTACGGAAGCATTGGAGTTTTCTGTTCATTTACAGTTGTTGACTACAGCAAAGTAATGCACAGATAGTTCGAATGTGATTAAATACTTAGAAAAATCCCCACTTGTTCCGTACTTTATGTAAGTACGAGCTTCATAAACTAGGTCACTAAAATCAAGTTGTAAGTAACGCAATTGAGGCAAACTTATCATAACGAAGTTGTGAAACAATATGTATTGCATGTATGGTTTAGTAATTTCTTGTTGTTTAAATCAAATTTGCACTTTTGACCGCAAAATTTTACCTTACAATTACTACAAAGTTTACCATCAAATTCTGAGGGCTGGAATTTACAGCGACTGCTAATATTCATATGTGCATGATATTCAGTAAACTTCTTTTAAATTCATTGTTTTTTACGGATTATAACATGCATGCATGAATATAAGCCCCCTCAAATATTGATCTTCTGAGGTTCCTGATTTTCTTTCAGCTAGCGGGGAGTTTGAGTTAAACGAGTTAAATTAAGTTAGTGGGTTTCAGTATCACTGGGTTCTACTGTATATTTTCTGGATATACAATTATGAATAAATTATAATACTCTGAAAAAAATGACGTGAGCTATTTAATAATTAAGAAACATTTTATTCGTATTTGTAATCGTTTCATTGTATACTGTCAGTGGCATATCCAACCCACACGTTTGATCATGCTAAAGAAATTTTTGGCGTTCACTCAATGTAAAAACAATAAATTTCTAAAGAAATGAATATTTCTAATGATAAAAAAGCTACATATCATGACCAGAAGTTGTTGGCTGGCTACGCCACTCTGTATTATCACTGAAAAGTTTGTACCTTACGTAAGATAAATCAATTATACAGAAGATGGCATCATGAGAGGTTAAAACATGTCTGCTTTTTCAAAAATTTGTTGTTACTTCTTGACAATATACAAATGATCAAGTGGCGAAGTCTTGTATATGATGCGTTTCCACTGCCGAAGTTGATACGAGATAAAAATCCTGTAGTTCACATGGTTAATAATGTCGGAAGCTGCTGCTGCTGCAATTTAAAAAGTGTAACATCGATAGATATCATATCGACATAATATTTGATTGTGAACTACGTAATTGGTCTTTAAAATATGTCGAGTTCACATTGTTTTCAAAATGTGTTCCGCGTTCCCGTCAACCAGAGAACATTTCAGAACAAAAAAAAGAAAGAAAATTTTTATAAGACTTTGAGTAAAAGGGTTTGTGCACTTCTAAATTGTGCAGGTGGTACGCTTCAAGTGTGTAACAAAACTGCGTCTTCTAACGACGTCGATTCTTGGTTCTCCTTAGACAATATATTTCGACCTCTAGAACAAAAATTTGAACACGTTATAGGCAATAGTAATGTCAGCTCACATTTTTCGTCATGGAGATATTCGCAGACTGTTTTAGCTTTTGAAGTCAACGCTTTGACGGCGAGCAATGGCGATGCATTTGTTTGTACGTTGACGACAAATGCATATGTTCCAACTTCGACCCAAGTATTGCCAATTAAAGGAAATGAATTTCGTGCATTGAAAGAGTTGTTGAATTGTACCCGTTGCGTCGACATAACGGAATTCGAGAAAGATGGCTCAAAACTTAAGGATTTCGAATTTATTCGCGACACATGTCTTGATTTCGAAGAGTCAAAAATCTTACAATTTAAATGCTTTGAATCCACTGACAAAAGTGTCTCTGCCAAGATTATAAACAATGGTTTCACGTCTTACGTTTCGGCGTTTTCCAATTTCGTCGGTGGTCGAATTCTCGTAGGAATCGAAGACAAATTTAGACGTGTCGTCGGAGTAGCTGTTAATAAAAAAGAGAAGGAAGGTTGTCGTGATGATCTTATAAAAGAGATGAGGAAAAAAATGAAATGGCCAGAATACTGTTCTTCGGTGAACAGTGAACAACCAATCGATGTAAAATTCCATTCTGTCGTCAATAGCGACCACTCTCCATATGTATGTAATGGAATACAAGTTTATGTCATTGAGATTACAATTCATCCACGTCCTGGAGGTGTTTTTGTCGATACTCCGGAGAGCTATACTATAGTTGATAACAATGGCGTGAAAAGTGTTCAAGCGTTGACGTTTGATGAATGGAAAAAGATGTTTTTTATTCAGGAAAGAACGATTTCTCGAACAATGTCAAAGTGTGACTGGAGTCAGAAAAAATTAAAAGTGATCTGCGATGAGCTGGATGGTAAACTGTTGAGGCTTATCAATTTTGGGAGGTGGTCCGACTTCTTGAAGGAGGTTGAACTAGATTTGGATAAATATGAATCTCAAAGGACTGAAATAGAATTGGTCCTCTTGTCGAAATGGTATGTATATCATTATAGGAAAGGTGAGTTTGAAGAGGCCGAGAACAAAATGGTTGAATTTAAGAAAAAGTCAAGTTCGACCAAAGACAATTTGATATTTGAAATCCGTGGGCGACTTTGTCTATCTGCCTTGCAGCGCACGCGCGGGGATTTCGAGAGTAGTTACGAGACGGCAAGAGATTGTCTCAATAAAGTCAAAACGATGCAAACGCTCCGAGTCACTTTTGGTTCTGCCATCATTTATTTGCTATGGCAAGTCTTCACTATAGACAAGTTCAAATCGGAAGCAATCGGGATAAACGCGACATTCTTCTCGAGAACGCTATCAGAACTGCAAAAACCGCACAATTCTCCGCGGGTGAATACCAATTTTGCGAGCTTCGCATTTATGCTGCTAAACATGCTGCCGTTTATGAACGTGACTTATCTGCATTGCGTAACCATGCAATAACGACTGAACAATATACAGACAAAGACCAAACCAAAACAAATTAAGTCCATGCATAGAAATGGCTTGCTGGTATTTCGGGGAAAAACAGTAGCTAACAAGACCACTGCGTGTAAAAAATTTCAACGAAGACTTAATTTATGTCGCCGTGAAGTTTGTTGAATGACAAGTATTTCATTTCGCGTGACAGAGCTTGTTTAGTTTATTGAGATTATGTTTAAGATGCATTTGTTTTAACTGCTGCGTTGACAAAGACGAAGAATCCTCCAAGAGAAAATGCAAACGAAATACACGAACATGATACATTCCTGATTACAAGAAGAAAGAATAGAATCTTTTTCAGTCCTGCATGTTGGTGAAGAGATTTTTCAGCCCTTTGAAGTGGCCTACCATCATGGGCGCTTTGGCGTGATATAAAATAGACTTTTTAGTTCGTACATTTCAAGGGCGTGTTACAACAGTCAACAGATTTGCGTCAGTGTTTGGGCATTTCGAATATAAAGAATCTCCAGCATGGGCATGAGAATGCGTAACACGTTTTTCCCTACAGTCGAAAAGAGAGTTTTTTGTATGACTGTTTCACAAAGAAAAAGTCCTATGACACCTTACTTTGAATCATTGCGTATAAAAATATGACTACTAAACTTTTACCATTCAGTGTGTAACTTGTACATACATGTGCCTTATAAATCTTTAATAGGTGGTTTGCATCTTACGTCATGGCTGCCATGCTGTTGGTCAAATATAAAAAATGTTTTGTCTATACTATTGTGGGCACTAACCGTCATAGGCGCGAGCCACCTTGTTGGTGGAGGTTGGTTGCAATCCAAACCTACGAAGTATACCAAACAAAGTCATAACTAATACTTTTATTTGTATAGATATATTCCGATTTCGTACCAAACAATTTGTAAAATTGATACATATTTATGAAGTAGAGTGTAACATATGTATAATAACATGGTTGCTTTGGGATCTTTTGTTGCCTAGGACTTTCCCCCGGATGTTTACCAAAACGCCCTCGGTTTGCGGTACTTTTACTCACTAATATCTCTGAAAGCATCCGTTTTCTTATAATAACAATCATGTGACTGCAAATATAGTGATATTGTCCTCCTTCAAAGATGAAGGGCATCATTGCTATAAAGATCGACATTATTTGTACTAAATTTATTTTGCAACTTATAAAATACATTCATACATGTACGGTCACAAATCTGCGCCCCATCAAAAAGTGAAGAAAAGAATTTGAGTGCGCACTGATCACTTCGAGTTCCGCCACCGTTTTGCAGGCATTCACAATGTAATGTCTCTTGCTATCAAAGCACATTAGTTGTTTGTGAAAAATGGTGCCATTTCTCTTTCAAAAATTGCCAGATGTTTGTATCTCTAGCCTCTTGTCATAGAAAACATTGATTTGTAAAAATTACACCGGAGTCTGTCATTCAAAGCTTTCCAACACAGAAAAAGTTCACCATTTTTAATTATGCGCTACAACGCGGGATGAATTAAAGAAAACTGGTATTTAAAGTGTAGCAAAGTACGGTTAGCTGCAAGTAGCTCTCCATTTTTGTTCAACCAGATTTAAAAAGTGTGGTCACTAAATCACTCCGACCGTGTTTGTATTGTCTGGATGATAAAATTCGGTGGCCTTAACCTTTTTCCCCTCCTTCCCTAAGTTGAACGTTGGGAAGAGAGCGTTGCCCTGTATCCATCAAAGTTTCTACTACCTGTTGTCATGGTCGTTAGATAATTAGTGTGGAAAAATACGAACAAAATATACTCAAGCATCCGGTCTTTGTGAAACGAACGTGTTCATATCTATGCCAAATGTGATATGGAATACTGTGTTTGTTTTTTAGGTGTTAGGAGTAGGGATTTAAGCCTGTTGGAGCTTTTCAAAAACTGCAAGATCTACAATGGCATGGAAACAATCATCGAGGCAATTTTGTTGAGCAAAGATCCTGAGACATTAAAAGTTTGTTTAAGCGTCCAAGAAGGTGAAGAAATCATCAAGCAATGTTTGAAACAATTGGAGAGAAAACCAACTTTTATTCATAGTATTTGCGAAACGCCGCTGATCAAATTAGTTGAGCTTGCGGTTGAAGATAATCTACAATTGTTGAAAAGACAAGACGAGAACGGTACTACCCCATTAATAAGGTATGTTTTGTGGTAGGAATACAATCCAGGGACGTCGCATACGGGGTCTGTGTGCATGAAGGGGTGTCACAAAGTGCTATATATAGCTACAGTGAAAATTCAACAATATACTGTGGTCTTCCAGTTGCTCTAAATGTTTTCATACGTGAATTATTTCATAACGTTGGTGTCTACCTAATGTCACACGTTCATAAACGACCAATTAAAGACGAGTTTAAAGACTTTGTTTGGGTTTTTATTGTATGTTTTATGATCAAATAGATCTTTATTAAAAGCTTTCCAAACTAATAGATTATTTCTTTTAGTAAAGATCAGGGACGCCGGAACGTCGATAATTGGGAGGGGGGATGGGAAGTATTCATATATGCGTGTTTACCTGATTACTTTCTTTTGAAATCAATTGTTTTTTGCGTGCCGGGACTACGAATTTATGAATATTTGCCTCCCTCAATTATCGACGCTCCGGCGTCCCTGGTATAGATGTATGATTATCTGATTCTTTGTATTCCAAAACTGCTTTTTCGATGTAACAATTTTTGCCCTTCTGCAGAGCAATTGAAGCAAACCAAAACGAAGTTGCAAAAAGATTATTGGAAATAGAGGTTAATGGAACAATGTCGCAGAAGGAAAAGCCTACTTACGAAACGGCATTGATTCATGCTTGCAAGCTGCAGAATTATGACATTATAATAAAAATCATGGAAATTTCTGACAACGATCTTTCAATTGTCGATGCCGATGAAAGAAACATATTTCATCATGCTGCAAAACACGATGAAGTGTTATCGATCATCATTGGTTATTGTAGAGTGGATCTGGTATGTGTAGACAAGAACAATTTTGGCAAAGGAATATGTTTCCTTTCGAATTTATTCTTTGTTTTACAGCAACGAATCTCACCAGAATTTACACTTTGTCTGCTTGCTTGTAATCAACTACCTAGATAGCATGCCGAACTAGTTTGGGTGATACTATATGCAAGCTTCATTGAATATACAATCTGCAAAAATAAACATTGGTAGATGTTTAAGAAACAGAAAACATTTTCAAGGTTTCTATACGCGTGAATGTTTGGGAGAAATTAGAAATTGCGTGGTATGCACGCTCGTGCGAGTGTTTCCAAGCAATTTCGAGTTTCTCCCAAACTTCGGCAAGTTTTTCTAGAACATATTAGGAACAAGTAAATATGTTTTCTACATCTATTGCGAAATAGCCTTTTAAAAACAACGTTGAAAAAATAAAATTAGCGATTTCAATAGCTCATTGTTTATGTTTTCGACGTTAAATTCTCCTGCGAAAGTCACGCGACCTGCGTGACTGAAGTTCTCGTGCGTGATAGAAACACGCGTGAATATTTGGGAGAAGCTCTCTTGCATTACAGAGTTATAGGAGCAAGATTTCATTCGACAAATCAACGCCCGTGTTTTTAAAAGGTTATTTTATAATACTCAATACTTGCGTAACTCGAACGCGTGCGCAAGTTTTAGAGCAGGTGTTCACTCATTGTGGAGTAATGATTAATATTACATTTTACCCCTAACGTGAGTGAAACGTCATTGTTTACTCGTCGGCTAAGGAAATACGTTGTTATTCGTTTTTATGAGTAAATAGAAGTTTTATGTTTTTTCTGAATCCTAAGTAAATTGTACATTTATACTCTTAAGATGCGCCTGGTGGTTAAAATAATTTTTAAGTAGTTACGCGAAGAAAAACAAACGTTCAAAAGGGATTTCCTCCTTTCTTTCAAACTCAGCTTTAAGGATTTGAAAGTAGCGCCTATGAAATTGTTATGTCTTATTGAGTTTTGCAGGTGAAATGATTATCTATGGTAACCTAACATGTATAGAAAAATAGCGATTGATTGAATGTAGAAAAGGGCTTCTTTCCGTTGTGTATAGATAGGTGGTAGATCCTCCATGGGTTCTTTCGTTTAGATGATTACATTCTCATCTATGCGCATGCTTTAGAGGAATGGAAATTCTTTCATTTAAATACTTCAAGTAAGATATAATCTCAGCAATTTCTATTTTATTCAGAAAAAGTGTGAAAATTACAAGAGGCACCTGACGCAAGCTGATAAAAATGGACACGTGCCACTGCATTATGCAGCATCCAGTGGAGCATGGAAGGTCAGTGATGTGAACATATATTTTCTTCATGTTCAAAACTTCTGTCTTCAATCTGACAAGTCAAAATGATGCATCTCCTTTTTCTTCAAATATATACAATAACTTCTTTGCTGACTTCTGACTATGATGTGCCAACTCAAATCGAAAGCCTCTCAAATTTAATGCTAGAAATCGATTCTCTCCAATCTAGAACGTGAAACTGCTTCTTGAAAATGGTGTACCTCATGATTCCCGTAGTTTCCATTTGGAACGAACGCCTTTACATTATGCAGCATTTAGTAACATTGAAACCGTACGGGCCCTCGTAGATCATGTTGCAAATCTTCAACAAGATGTTTCGAAATTCGTAAATGCAGTTGATTCCAACCTTCAGACGTGCTTACACCTCGCGGCCTGTCTCGGTAAATGGCAAACTGTTTCATATCTGCTAGAACACGGTGCCACCATCACAGGGTAAGGAACAAAAAGTAAAACTGTGCATTTATATGAACCCAGAGCTTAAGAATCTGCAAGGTTAAATTTTCATACCCCTTTGTTTGTGAAATTTTTTAAATTAGAATTTGAATCGGGTTCTTATTCTATTTTCATCATTCTAAGATTACATTTGAAACTAATAAAAATATATACCTAAAAAATGAACTCAAAATTGTTTTAAAAAGAGCTAATGTTATGGTGAATTGTGAAAATAATGACGTAATAATGCTTTGTGTTGTGTTAATGTTCTTTTAAGAAGTTCTGTTTAACAGTTCTTTTAAGTACTAGTACGTTATCATTTTCACCATTCCCCATGGTATTTGCTCTTTTTAAACAATTTTTAAATTTGTCACCCCGACAAAGTCTGTATTTACGACTTAAAAATGAACTGTTAATTACAAAGTAATACAAATTACTTAGATGTCAGAATCCTAGATAAGTCAAACACTGTATTATTGCGTTGGTATAAGAGCACATACTGCAATTTGAGAAAAATTTAGTATAAGCTATTTTAATATTTTCGAAAACAGACGAAAAGGGCTCATTTTTCTTTACAAAATACAAACCTATCTAAGAACTGTTTAGGCTAACATCAATTGACCTCCATCTATATAAGAACCTGTTTAGGCTAACGGCTTAACTTCTTTTAACTCGGGTTTACTTTTTATATGCTCGTTCTATTGAATATATTTACAACCAATCAAAAGTGGACTTTCTCATCAAAAAAATTGTGGAAGTAACTCTGTACTGTGCCTTCAGTTATATGACTTCATTTTATAGAAAATGAAAAGTAGTTTCAACGCCCAAACACATATGACTTATTTCTAACACATTATTTTTAACACGTTTTATTTTAGCGATAAGGAGCGTGAGACACCTGTGCACATGGCTGCCATGTCTGGTTGCATCAGAACCATTGAATGTCTAATCAGGAACGATAGGACAGCGATTGACGCTGAGAATCTTGTTGGTGAGACTCCTGTTATGTTTGCTGCCGCCGAGGGAAATAAACAAGCGCTGAATTTTCTGTTGGAGAATGAAGCGAGTCTTTGGGGGAGCAGTCATTGTGATAGTGTAGAAAAGCGAAAAACATGTTTAGATTGGGCTGTTCTTGCTGAAAATTCTGACATTGCAAAGAGTATTTTGGAGCGTAAGAACTGGAGAGAGGTATTTATCGTTTTTTTTTTAGTCAATACTTATTTCTGGAAGTGTAAAACGTCATGTTGTTGAAGAGCGAGTCGTCTCTCTGCCCTGTCATGAGCGTGGCTCGTTGCATTCTTTTAAAATGTCTGTCTTCTGTAGAAATCTTGCTGATGTCATTGTTGTGAATATTAACTCGGGTATGAGTCAACCATTTAAGGGGCTGTTCACATGAGCCCGGTAACTGGGATTCAGCGAGGCGTGAAATGATTTTGAGTAATTTTAAGAAGTAAAAATTTTAAGCGCAAAACTTACAACTTTTTCTTAAGCGTCATAAGTCATTTTAATCGTAATTTTTAAATCAGGCTAAATTATTTGTTTTCGTTTTAAAGGTTTTGTGAATTTGCAAAGTCATAGCATAGAGAAATTGCTCAAATAAGTTTTTTGTTGTGAAGTATTTAATCTTTTCCATTTGCCAAAATGATTTAACGCTTCGCTGAATCCCGCCTAACGGGCTCATGTAATCAGCCCCTAAATCAATCAGTCTGGAGGATTTGCCAGTCAATCATGACTACCAGATGATACATGTTAGAGGAAAAATTAAAACATTTGTTTTAAATTTGTCTGTTTTGCATTATTGTTACTCTATACAAGAAATAAAAGATGTTTTTTGTGTTTGCACTGGCTTATAAAAGGTTGAAGTCGTTTGTGAGTACGTTCGAGCAGACGCAAGCACTCGACCTTCGTTCTCGAGCTTGCAATGATTTGCTCTCGAGTTCCTCGAAGATCTCCTCGGTTTGCACAAACTTGTGCAAACACAGTAAACATCTTTTATTTCTTAATTCAAAACAAGTTACAGCTGTAATTAGATGTAATTTACGCAGCGTTATTCTCGACGTCCCTTTATTTTTATTAATTTTCAACACTTATTTTCCTATTGAAGGCCATGGAAAAATCCTGCTACGGAGCCGATGGATTGCTAGCAAAAATGGTGGAGTTGATGCCGCATGTTGCTCTTGAGGTGTTGAAAAAGTGCGAGGAACCGTCAAGTGGTGGCAAGAAATATGACTTTTTTGCTTTGCAGACTACTGAAGGTAAACAACTGAAGTAATTTTCATGTTTGTTTGAAAGTTTTATCACGTTACAACACTTGTACGTAAATGTTTCATAATCAACTTGTCCTTTTAGTATACCATTAAATATCTACTTACTTTACCATCGCTCTCCAAATGTTGTTTTTCATTTCTTTTTCTCATTTGTAGTTGTTTAATTATTATAATATATTATTCTTATTATAAGATTACGTTTCCCACCCCATCTGTTTATGTCAATAGATCAAGTGGATGTGTTTGATTTTACTGATTTTAGTTCGATTAGTGTATTTTCTACCGTTTCATCGAAAATAAGTTAAGATAAATCATAAGTAAATCTACCACACGTATCTAATATAGGAAATTAAGGCCCACAATCGTATATAATAAAAAATACGGTGCATTTGCTTACGAATATAGATTTCGATAGATTTTAATCTCATATATAAGAGCATTGTGACTATATGTGCATATATTTTTACAAGATTTTGTCAGATGAGCTTAAACACTACTCCTTGTTTTGAGGTTTACAACTATTTAAAGCCGGTGGGAGAGTCCATCAACTAATCAGACCTATACTCTTGTAAAAAATGCATATATAACCAAACTGCATAAAGGAGAATAAAAAGCTTCATACATGACAAAACACTCAGTTCATGTTGTATAATTTCAAATCGAGATTTTCTCATTCCAAGGATCGTCAGGATGCGGAAAACCCGGTCAATATGTTACTGCTCTGAAATCATTAAAGGCAATGGTGAATCATTCAAGAGACCAATGTTTAAGCCATGACGTCGTGCAACGCTTTCTTCATGAAAAATGGGTAGTCGGTGGACGAAAGTGCTATATGTTAATGTTCTTCATCTACGGGATGTTTCTCCTCGCACTTACGGCCTATGCTACTTTTACTACCTTGGGTATGTCCAATCAAATGACTTAGAACGCAATCAACTAGATATTTGACTCCATCTTGAAATGTGGAAAGCTAAGATATTTACGAAATCTGTTTTTCCTCAGTTGATGTGCATTTACAAAAATGATAGTCTGGTTTTTATTTTTAAAATACTGATAGGATTTGTTTCTTAAATTTTCTTTAAACTTATTTTTCATTCCTACTTTAATTTGCTTTTTGCCACCTTTCAAGATGGCGTTCTTGCCTCACCCTGACACAGTGGTTAGACATTTAGAGGACTGGGATCTAAGTCATTGATCCAATCAAGTAAATCGCTTACAAACCCAGTAAACTCAATTCTGCAAGATTATATAGAATGTGGTTACTCCGACTCTATTGTCAATCTCATCAAGAGATTTGAAAATGATACTTTTTACTTTCGGAATGGTCTCACCAAACCGTGGCGACTGGCGATGCCAGACAGCCCGATTTTCTACTCCTACGATGGAAATTTCTCAACAAAAATTGTTTTCATTTCTTTAGAAAATTAATTCCATTCGAGTCGCGTTCTATTTAGGAACTAGGATTCTGATTTTAAAGATTCTGATTGCTTAGATATTTAATTCAAATGGAACTTAAAAATCTATTAGGGATTTTTATCGCAGACTCTTTTCCGAATTATGAAGAACTTCATAAACGCATTTATTTTGTTACGAAGCATACTCCGAATAGAAGACTCGTGTTTAAATCAATATTTGAGAAAGAAACAAGAAATTTTTTATTTGAAAAGTTATATTTCGAATTTGTTACAAATTCGTCATCAAATATAGTTTTCAAACTATTTTAAGTTCTGTTTTAAGTTCTTAAACTTCACTTGACACTTATCACTAACATAAAAACAACCATGCCGACTCATTGCTTTTGAGATCTCCTTCCGAATTGACTTTTTCTTCCATTTTGTATCCTGAAATTTTTCTTGATTGGCCTTGTAAAGTATCAGTAGCTGCTGAACTTAGGGTTCGGTCCACTTTGGTAGATGATTCTCTGAGGTCTCTACTTTTGTCATAACTCTACAATTTTCTGCAGTCTCGGCTCCTTCATGGCTGTCTTTTGTTGTCCCTGTCCAACTTTTTTCACCTGGAACTGCACAATGTGTTTCAAGCGACCGAAGCATGTGTATGTCAATGGTGCCAAAATTGTTTTCTGCAAAGATATTGTTGGAAACGTTTGGCCTTTTAGTATTGCATACTGATGTACTTTGATGTTAGGATCACAAAAACACTAACAAACAAGCGCTTAAAAATTGGACTATAAGCCCTGCATGATATTTTATGCAACATTTGTTGTTAGATAAATAAAAACTGTTAATAAATTACGTGAATGTTCAGTTGCACAGCTGCTGCAACAATATCCTTTATCGGAAGAATAATACGAAAAAGTTTCATTAGCCAGCTCGTGATAGCCAGTACTTTTCGACTGAAAAGGCTTACGACAATTGGGGTTATTGCAAATTTCTTCCGATATGTTGCCTTTTTCAAAAAAGGCCAGAGTTTCTAAAGCGTTAGAAATTGTGTGAAAGGAAAATATTTTTAGCAGGATAAGTATGGTGAAATAGTACGCACCAACATACCTGTTTTGTTCTTTTCCATGTTTTCCAACGCCCACAAAGCAGACTTAGATCCGAAATTATTTTAAAAGGAACGGTAAAAATTGCAATCAGATTTATGAATTAATCCAAATAATCCACTTCCTACTGTGGATTGCTTGGATTGGAATCCGTGTCAATATTTTCCAAAATTGAAAGGTTGAATCTGAAACCTGATTCAATAATCTCTTAATGGTTTGTCAAAAGGAACGCGATCTCGTTGTTTTTCCAGTGATTGAGGACAACAATATCTGCATTGTAGGAGCAAAAAATTGGAATGGCTTTGCTACTGACATCAAATAGAACTGAGTGAGCTACTTCAGAGAAAAGAAAACGTGAATGTATCTAATTTATAATTCACTTGAACAGTATGATCCGGCAAAGCAAAATTAACTGTACATTTTATGGAAAGGAACATTTACGAAGATTTAACTTAATTTTCACTTCTTCTCGACTCATTTTGGAGTTAAAGATGAACTTTTCTCTGCACTTTGCTCTCAAACTGTGTTTTTAGGTTACGTAAGCGGGGAAAGTCCATCATGCAACGCCTCACGTATCGTATGCTGTATTTTCGGTGTCTTCAGCCTCGCCAAAGGAATTTTTCAGGTAAAAGATTCAAAATAATTTTCACTCCTTCTATACTGAAGCATCACAACTTTCTCGTGATGTCCTACTCCTTATGAATTTCAAGCGTAAAGTTATAGAAACACATTGGAAAGTGTTGAGAGAAACGAGAAATTGCTTGGCAAGCACCAAGTGCAAATATTTCTAAGCAAATTTGAATTTCTCCAAAACTTTCACTAGTGTTTCTGTAACTCAATAAGAACAAAGAAATATGTTTTTTAGTTCGTTTATAAAAAATCCTTTTAAAAACAAAATCAAAAAGAATAATGTATTAATAATTATTGCATTAGATTTATTATGATATCAAGAATTATTCAGACCAAGGTCAATATTATCTGACAAAGCAAATCTGAGGCGGATTACGTTGACCAAAGTCTGAATAATTTTGATATCAAGTGAAAGCCGAATTCAATAATACTATTGAATTCGGCTCATAGCCATGTACATCGTACTCACCGTCTATTGTTCTGCTTCTCGCTGTTACTCGCTATCCATTGAAGTAGCGTAGCCAAAAAATTTTTAGCAACATGAAATCTGCCAACGATTTTAAGCCTCTGGAAGACTCAAATACGCCCTTTGCTTTAATGAAATCAACCCAGATTTTATGTCCTCGGGCCTTTTATCATTATAAAGCAAAGTGTGAAGACTCATACGAAAGCTAAGGCTTGATTTCTTCGAAAAATTGGCTGCAACCCAACTATTTACTATTTTTCTGCTCTTCCTAGTACAAAGGCAATGCTTTTAGACGCTTATAGATTTAGTTGTGCTTCAGCAGTAGTGTTTTAATAGCAATTGAATACACGACTCGTGTAACACGAGTACCTTGGATGACGTCAGAAAATTAGCTAGTTTCAGACTCTTCATTATCACGGACATGGTTCACAAGAATATACGATTTTAGTGAATTTAACGCTTTACAAAAATCAAACGATTTGACAAAATTCAAAATTTTTTCTGAAAGAGGCTTAAAATCATAGACAGATTTTATATTGCCAAAAAAACTTTGGTGGAAGGGGGCACTTTACGTACTTGCACTTCAACTAAAGATTTATTGAAATGCTGGTGTTTCAATCATTCGACCGATCAAATGGCTTCTAGATGGCTATTTTATAATGAACATTGGCATTGTTTTTTGTTGTTCTAGCTCGTGCATCGAAGACTGAAATACTTTAACAGTGTGTCGGCGTATTTGGAATTGGCCATGTACATTTGTGTGTTTATATTTATACCAAATGATAAAAAGAGCAATATGCAACAGCAGGCAGGAGCGATTGCAGTTTTCCTTGCGTGGATAAATTTTACTTGGTTCTTGAAGCGATTTCAAACGTACGGCATATACATCATTATGGTCAACAAGATATTTATCACGTTCGTTAAGGTAAAAAGTCACGAAAGACTGGAAATTGGTTTCGCTTTTTTTCACGATATATGCTTTGAATTTTGAAGTAAATTATAGCGCTATACGTATGCACTTACATTAACACCGTATAACTTTAAAGTTTATTTAAACGAGCTGAATATTGCCCAATCAAATTCCTCTTAAAATTAGAAAATTGCGTAGTTGAAAGAGAAAAAGAAAATTTGAACATTTTTTGTTCGACGTTTCTGCTAAGTGTGAAAAAACTATACCAACAGTCTCAGGAGACCTTACTTTAATATAGTTCCAGTTTATATATAATCCAGTTTTTCGAACAATTTAGTAATTGAGAAACTGTTGTTATTTGATTCAAAACAAACAACTTTTATAGGTTTTTGTTCCTGTATCATTCTTCCTTATGGCGTTCTCAATGGCTTTCTTCGTGCTTTTCCACAAGGAAGACGCCGGTTTTGATAACATAGTCAAGTCTTTTGTAACATCGTTCGCCATGATGGTTGGCGAGGTCGACTATCGTGACACATTTCTTCAAAACAAGGGCGAGAATTTCGCCCTTCGTCTCGTCTTCTTGGTATTATTTCTCATTGTCGTTGGCATTCTACTCATGAATTTGCTTACAGGTCTCGCTGTCGGCGATATAGGAATGATTATGAAGCGTTCATTTATAGAAAGCCAACGCCAACAGGTGAGTGCATGTACTCTTCAAGTTCATGCAGTAAAAAGAACGCGTGTGTCCCACAGCTTCACTTAAGATTCAAACGAAAATTGAAGCAAATGTTTGAAAATTTGAGAAAACCGAAGAACCTAGGAAATAATAGAGCTATGTGATCAAGCTATCGTAGAAGTTTTTGCTACTCTAAGAATCCCAAAATCCACAGCTGCTGTCTGTGTCAAGTTAGCAGCAGTAGTCTATTTCGCCTTTGCTTTGATCTGCTATTGCATTAATCTTCAAATGTTTTGCTGGTATTTCTCTATATAGCTTTCGTCAATTTTCTATGATTTTTGAAAGATTCTTTAAGACTTTCTTCATGCACATTATAGCCTTACGAAACGCTAGCAGTACAGTTTCATACCGTTTATTGCTTCAACAATACCGTCAGATTTTGTTCCGTTTTGGTGTAGTGTTCAGCCACGCTGTATTGATGCCGGGTAAAGTTTGTCTTACTTAAAGTTATTTCAATTTGTGCCAACCATGTTTATCGCTGTCGCGCGTCTGTGTTCGAAATTTTGACTCCATCAATTTCAACAGAGTAAAAAGTTTTGCTATTTTCATACCGGCATCATGTGAACACGATCCTAAAAGGCAGAACAATGAAAAAAAGGGGTGTATCCCAGAAAGCACGAGTTTTAGTCTGGCAGCAACAGTATGTTTTCTGCGAATTGAATGTTTTAAATATAATCGAAAAATCAAAGTATAAACATATTGTAAAACACCATATATATTTTTTCTGCTTTTCACACTTTTACATAGGTTTTTATACATGCACGCTCGCTAGTAAAAAACATGAAAGGAACATCTAGCAGTCCTCCCCCTTGCCCACTGTCAATGGCGCCCATGTATAAAAGTCTAAGAGCTAGATATATTTTGCGTTTTCATTGCAGGCAATGCTAATTATTGACATTGATCATTTTTTGGGAAGATATCCTGGTTTTAAGACGAAATATCTGGAGCGTTTGATCGTAACAAAGAAAAAGCATCGTCATAATTTTGCCATCAAATGTTTCCAAAAACTCGTGGACTTGATGTATCCACGTTTGAATATCGAATATGACAATAACACGGAGAAGAACCACGAATGTAACGAAATAGCTCAGTTAAAGTGCCAGTTGAGTAAAGTTCAGAAAACTCTAGAGGAAATCAACAGCTCGTTGGAAAAAAGCAAGAGAAAAAATCCGAACACAAAATTGAAAAACTACTATTCTCGTCGACACACTCTACAATAGAACAATTACAGAAGAGTGAATTCTTTTTCACAAACATTTATTTCTCTCTTTAAATGTAGCTAATAACATTTCCGTTGTGCACACTCGCACTCGTGCATATTTTCTGCTCAATGGAAAAAGTGTAGCTATTATTAAAATAGTGAAAAATTATTACGCTAATAACTAGATAGAAAAAGTGACTGAGGGTATTGTTTCGTTTAAAAAGGGATCGCTGCCGCAAAAGGCTTTGTGGCGCAATTGGTAGCGTGTCTGACTCCAGATCAGAAGGTTATGTGTTCAAATCACGTCAAGGTCATTGTACTTTACTTAACAAAAAGGTAAAACGTTACAATTTTTATTTATGGAAATTTTGGGTGCTGCAAATGGCTTTATGGCGCAATTGGTAGCGCGTCTAACCCCAGATCAGAAGATTGTGTGTTCAAATCACTTTAAGGTCTAAATGTTTTACTGAACAAAAAAACAAAACGTTAAAATTTATATTTATGGAAATTTTTGGTGTTGCAAATGGCTTTATGGCGCAATTGGTGGCGCGTCTAACTCCAGATCGGAGGGTTATTTGTTCTAATCACGTCAAGGTCATTGTATTTTATTGAATAAAAAGGTAAAACGTTAAAGTTTGTATTTATGGCAAATTTGGGTGGTGCAAGTGGCTTTGTGGCGCAATTGGTAACGTGTCTGACACCAGATCAGAAGTTCAAATCACGTCAAGGTTATAGTGTTTTACTGAATAAAATGGTAAACCGTTAAAATTTATATTTAGGGAAAATTAGGTGGTGCAAATGGCTTTGGGGCGAAATTGGTAGCGCGTCTGACTCCAGATCAGAAGGTTATGTGTTCAAATCAGGTCAAGGTCATTGTATTTTACTGAACAAAAAGGTAAAACGTTAAAGTTTGTATTTATGGAACTTTTCGTTGTTGCAAGTGGCTTTGTGGCGCAATTTAAAGCGTGTCTGACTGCAGATCAGAAGGTTATATGATCAAATCACGTCAAGGTCATAGTGTTTTACTGAACAAAAAGGTAAAACGTTAAAGTTTGTATTTATGGAACTTTTCGTTGTTGCAAGTGGCTTTGTGGCGCAATTTAAAGCGTGTCTGACTGCAGATCAGAAGGTTATATGATCAAATCACGTCAAGGTCATAGTGTTTTACTGAATAAAAAAGTAAACCGTTAAAATTTATATTTATGGAAATTATGGATGGTGCAAATGGCTTTGTGGCGTAATTAATAGCGTGTCTGTCTCCAGATCAGAAGGTTATGTGTTCAAATCACGTTAAGGTCATTGTACTTTACTTAACAAAAAAGTAAAACGTTAAAGTTTGTATTTATAGCAAATTTGGGTGGTGCAAGTAGCTTTGTGGCGCAATTGGTAGCGTGTCTGACTCCAGATCAGAAGGTTATGTGTTCAAATCACGTCAAGGTTATTGTACTTTACTTAACAAAAAGGTAAGACGTTAAAATTTTTATTTATGGAAATTTTGGGTGGTGCAAATGGCTTTATGGCGCAATTGGTAGCACGTCTAACCCCAGATCAGAAGATTGAGTGTTCAAATCACTTTAAGCTCTAAATGTTTTACTGAAGAAAAAAACAAAACGTTAAAATTTATATTTATGGAAATTATGGATGGTGCAAATGGCTTTGTGGCGCAATTGGTACCGCGTCTAACTCCAGATCGGAGGGTTATGTGTTCTATACCCGTCAAGGTCATTGTATTTTACTTAACAAAAAAGTAAAACGTTAAAGTTTGTATTTATGGAAATTTTGGGTGGTGCAAGTGGCTTTGTGGCGCAATTGGTAGCGTGTCTGACACCAGATCAGAAGGTTATATCTTCTAATCACGTCAAGGTCATAGTGTCTTACTGAATAAAAAAGTAAAACCATGAAATTTGTATTTATGCTAATTTCTGGTGGTGCAAATGGCTTTGTGGGAGCAATTGGTAGCATGTCTTACTCCAGATCAGAAGGTTATATGATCAAATCACGTCAAGGTCATAGTGTTTTACTGAGTAAAAAAGTAAACCGTTAAAATTTATATTTATGGAAATTTTGTTTGCCGCAAATGGCTTTGTGGCGCAATTGGTAGCGTGTCTGACTCCAGATCAGAAGGTTATGTGTTCAAATCACGTTAAGGTCATTGTATTTTACTTAACAAAAAGGTAAAACGTTAAAATTTTTATTTATGGAAATTTTGGGTGGTGCAAATGGCTTTGTGGCGCAATTTGTAGCGTGTCTGACTCCAGATCAGACTGTTATGTGTTCAAATCACGTCAAGCTTATAGTGTTTTACTGAATAAAAAGGTAAAACGTTAAAGTTTGTATTTATGGCAATTTTGGATGGTTCAAGTGGCTTTATGGCGCAATTGGTAACGTGTCTGAACCAGATCAGAAGGTTATGTGTTCTAATCACGTCAAGGTCATTGTGTTTTACTGAATAAAAAGGTAAAACGTTAAAGTTTGTATTTATGGAAGTTTTGGGTGGTGCAAATGGCTTTGTGCGCAATTGGTAGCGTGTCTGACTCCAGATCAGAAGTTTATGCGTTCAAATCACGTCAAGGTTATAGTGTTTTACTGAATAAAATGGTAAACAGTTAAAATTTATATTTAGGGAAAATTAGGTGGTGCAAATGGATTTGGGGCGAAATTGGTAGCGCGTTTGACTCCAGATGAGAAGGTTATGTGTTCAAATCATGTCAATGTCATAGTGTTTTACTGAATAAAGAAGTAAAACGTTAAAATTTTTATTTATGGAAATCCTGGGTGATGCAAATGGCTTTGTAGCGCAATTGGTAGCGTGTCTGACTCCAGATCAGAAGGTTATGTGTTCAAATAACGTCAAGGTCATTGTTTTTTACTGAACAAAAAGGTAAAACTTTGAAATTTATTTTTATGGAAATTTTGGATGGTGCAAAATGCTTTGTGGCGCAACTGGTAGCGTGTCTGATTCCAGATCAGAAGGTTATGTGTTCAAATCACGTCAAGGTCATAGTGTTTTACTGAATAAAAAAGTGAAACGTAAAAATTTAGATTTATGGAAATTTTGGAAGCTGCAAATGGCTTTGTGGGGCAATTGGTAGCATGTCTAACTCCAGATCAGAAGGTTATATGATCAAATCACGTCAAGGTCATAGTGTTTTACTGAAAAAAAAGTAAAACGTAAAAATTTATATTTATGGAAATTTTTGGTGGTGAAAATGGCTTTGTTGCGCAATTGGTAGCGCGTCTAACTCCAAATCGGAGGGTTATGTGTTCTAATCACGTCAAGGTCATTGTATTTAATTAACAAAAAAGTAAAACGTTAAAGTTTGTATTTATGGAAATTTTGGGAGGTGCAAGTGGCTTTATTGCGCAATTTGTAGCGTGTCTGACTCCAGATCAGTCTGTTATGTGTTCAAACACGTCAAGATTATAGTGTTTTACTGAATAAAATGGTAAACCGTTAAAATTTATATTTAGGGAAAATTAGGTGGTGCAAATGGCTTTGTGGCGAAATTGTTAGCGCGTCTGACTCCAGATGAGAAGGTTATGTGTTCAAATCACATCAAGGTCATAGTGTTTTACTGAATAAAGAAGTAAAACGTAAAAATTTATATTTATGGAAATTTTTGGTGGTGCAAATGGTTTTGTGGCGCAATTGGTAGCGCGTCTAACCCCAGATCAGAAGATTGAGTGTTCAAATCACTTTAAGCTCTAAATGTTTTACTGAAGAAAAAAACAAAACGTTAAAATTTATATTTATGGAAATTATGGATGGTGCAAATGGCTTTGTGGCGCAATTGGTACCGCGTCTAACTCCAGATCGGAGGGTTATGTGTTCTATACCCGTCAAGGTCATTGTATTTTACTTAACAAAAAAGTAAAACGTTAAAGTTTGTATTTATGGAAATTTTGGGTGCTGCAAATGGCTTTGTGGCGCAATTGGTAACGTGTCTGACACCAGATCAGAAGGTTATGTCTTCTAATCACGTCAAGGTCATAGTGTCTTACTGAATAAAAAAGTAAAACCAAGAAATTTGTATTTATGGAAATTTTGGGTGGTGCAAATGGCTTTATGGCGCAATTGGTAGCGCGTCTAACCCCAGATCAGAAGATTGTGTGTTCAAATCACAATAAGGTCTAAATGTTTTACTGAAGAAAAAAATAAAACGTTAAAATTATATTTATAGAAATTTTGGGTGCTGCAAATGGCTTTGTGGCGCAATTGGTAGCGTGTCTGACTCCAGATCAGACGGTTATGTGTTCAAATCACGTCAAGGTTATAGTGTTTTACTGAATAAAAAGGTAATACGTTAAAGTTTGTATTTATGGCAATTTTGGGTGGTGCAAATGGCTTTGTGGCGCAATTGGTAACGTGTCTGACTCCAGATCAGAAGGTTATGTGTTCAAATCACGTCAAGGTTATAGTGTTTTACTGAATAAAATGGTAAACCGTTAAAATTTATATTTAGGGAAAATTAGGTGGTGCAAATGGCTGGCGAAATTGTTAGCGCGTCTGACTCCAGTGATGTGTTCAAATCAAAGGTCATAGTGTCTTACCCAAAGTCGTAATGGGTAGGAAAGTGCAACCGAAGCGTTCTGACTCCAGATCGACGGTTAAACCAACAGTCAGTCAATAATGTCTTAATTAAATACGTTTTGTGATGGCAATTGGGTTGTAGTGTGGCGCAATTTGTAGCGTCTCTGACTCCAGATCAGTCTGTTATGCGTTCAAATCACGTCAAGGTTATAGTGTTTTACTGAATAAAAAGGTAATACGTTAAAGTTTGTATTCATGGCAATTTTGGGTGGTGCAAGTGGCTTTATAGCGCAATTGGTAACGTGTCTGACTCCAGATCAGAAGGTTATGTGTTCAAATCACGTCAAGGTTATAGTGTTTTACTGAATAAAATGGTAAACCGTTAAAATTTATATTTAGGGAAAATTAGGTGGTGCAAATGGCTTTGTGGCGAAATTGTTAGCGCGTCTGACTCCAGATGAGAAGGTTATGTGTTCAAATCACGTCATGGTCATAGTGTCTTACTGAATAAAATAGTAAAACGTTAAAGTTTGTATTTATGGAAATTTTGGGTGGTGCAAGTGGCTTTTTTGCGTAATTTGTAGCGTGTCTGACTCCAGATCAGACGGTTATGTGTACAAATCACGTCAAGGTCATAGTGTCTTACTGAATAAAATAGTAATACGTTAAAGTTTGTATTATGGCAATTTTGGGTTGTGCAAGTAGCTTTGTGGCGATTTGTAGGGTGTCTAACTCCAGATCGGAGGGTTATGTGTTCAAATCACGTCAAGGTCATTGTATTTTACTGAACAGAAAGGTAAAACGTTAAAGTTTGTATTTATGGCAATTTTGGGTGGTGCAAGTGGCTTTTTTGCGCAATTTGTAGCGTGTCTGACTCCAGATCAGTCTGTTATGTGTTCAAATCACGTCAAGGTTATAGTGTTTTACTGAATAAAAATGAAAAACGTTAAAGTTTGTATTTATGGCAACTTTGGGTGGTGCAAGTGGCTTTATAGCGCAATTGGTAACGTGTCTGACTCCAGATCAGAAGGTTGTGTGTTCAAATCATGTCAATGTCATAGTGTTTTACTGAATAAAGAAGTAAAACGTTAAAATTTTTATTTATGGAAATCTTGGGTGGTGCAAATGGCTTTATGGCGCAATTGGTAGCGCGTCTAACCCCAGATCCGAAGATTGTGAGTTCAAATAACATTAAGGTCTAAATGTTTTACTGAACAAAAAAATAAAACGTTAAAATTTATATTTATAGAAATTTTTAGTGGTGCAAATGGCTTTGTGGCGCAATTGGTAGCGTGTCTGACTCCAGATCAGACGGTTATGTCTTTAAATCACGTCAAGGACATAGTGTTTTACTGAATAGAAAGGTAAAACGTTAAAGTTTGTAATATGGCAATTTTGGGTGGTGCAAGTAGCTTTGTGGCGCAATTGGTAGCGTGTCTGACTCCTGATCAGAAAGTTATGTGTTCAAATCACGCCAAAGTCATTGTACGTTACTTGACAAAAAGGAAAAACGTTAAAATTTTTATTTATGGAAATCTTGGGTGGTGCAAATGGCTTTATGGCGCATTTGGTAGCGTGTCTAAGCCCAGATCAGAAGATTGTGTGTTCAAATCACTTTAAGGCCTAAATGTTTTACTGAAGAAAAAAATAAAACGTTAAAATTTATATTTATAGAAATTTTGGGTGGTGCAAATGGCTTTGTGGCGCAATTGGTAGCGCGTCTGACTCCAGATCAGAAGGTTATGTGTTCAAATCACGTCAAAGTCATTGTAGTTTACTGAATAAAAAAGTAAAACCATGAAATTTGTATTTATGCTAATTTTGGATGGTGCAAATGGCTTTGTGGCGCAATTGGTAGAGTGTCTGTCTCCAGATCAGAACGTTATGTGTTCAAATCACTTTAAGGTCTAAATGTTTTACTGAA